TGAAATTAATTGTAGCACAATATAAATTTGCATATATCACAAATGATCATCACATTTCTGATATAATCGAATTTCTATTATGCTTATAATTATTTATCATCTTTATTTTTAACTTTATTTTTATTTCTTAAAGCTAAATTATAATTACAATAAACTTTTGATTCTTATAAATGTTAAAGTGGTCTTTCGGTTAATGCTGATTATTTAACACGTATAGCCAAGGCTCCGAATGAATTGAATCGAGCCATATTCAAAAAAAGTGGGTCCAGATTTTTATATTGATATAAAATGTATTTTTGATATGGAATGCATTTTGATGAGAAATACATACTAATACTAATACAGGAGAATACGCTTTCCCGCACCCAAATTTATGAAAACCAGCGCGGGATATTTTTTGTCAGGACAATAAAAAGAACCATAACGTAAAAATGAAAAAAGATTTATGTTTCAATGGAGTTTTGAAACTTTAACAGTTAAGGTTTCTAAGAGTTACATATAGGGATGGTCAAAATTGCGTTATTGTGAATCTCTACTCCGTATCATTTAGGTATGGGAAAGTTCTTCTTTCTGTATTATTATATATGTTCAATCAATAACTATTTTGACATAGTCATTTCAACGAGTTTTAATTATAATTCATTGAAACAAGATTCGCAAAACAATTTTCATTTGAATTAATTAATTTATTTATTAGATTTTGTGTATATTGATTCGAATCCAAACCAAAGAGAACCATGCTAATTTATTTATATATCCGATAGTTTTGTATGAAACGAAACAAAAATTAGGTAATTCGATTCAAATTTCATTGATTTGTTCAGAGCTTTAAAAATACCTTTCATTTGGAGATTTTTTTTTTACTTTCCAACAAACAGGATTGCAACCACATACTAATTCAACTATTTCTTTAATTTTAATTATAACTATGGTTTGTTATAGCACTTTTCAAAAACAATTCTTGAAAAACCATGTTTGAAATTCACAAATGAATAATTCAAAATCATATTGGAATATTATTGCTTTTGATATAATCCGACTAGTAATTAAACATTTCATTTTCAAATTCTTTCACTTGGATCTTTTTGAAAAAAATCTAGGTTGCCATAAGAATTTCTTTTTTATGCTTCTTTATCAAAAAACATATTTATATGAATTTTTTTATTCCATATATTTAGCTGAATCCAACTGATGGAACTATCTTTATTCCATTCTAAAATATTTTTTTCCAATGTTTCATTTTGTCCTATTTCCCCCATTGAATGACATTCCAACCCATGCCCAAAAAAATTTCACAGTATTAATTACCCAAAACCTTATTCAATCCCGGAATAGGCACATATATTAGAAAATGGGGTTTTATATAAATTTTAATCAAATTTTGTTGGATTTAAATTTGATTAGATTTCATCTATTGTTAAAACAAGCTGCACTGAACTTCCTTTCACTATGTGCACTGGAACATAATATTGATTTTGATATGGTTCCCGTCATTCTAAAATGTCTAAATCAAATCTTTGAAAACAGATACTTGTTAATTTCATTTCTTCGGGTTCATCAATATCCGAACCATAAAATTTACTAAATCAACATTAGATTTTAACAAGTCTTATACAAACTTCTTTATATATGAAATCTTCTTCACCATTATCACTATTTTTATCATTAGCAAGTTGGTGGCTTATTTTGTTTACCCATTCAGTATCATAATGCTCCGAAATTTTTAACTGCTTCATTGGATTAAAGAACAAAGCTAATTTATCTATTATTTTTTGATTAACCACCAATTTGATTCGTTTTAAAATCTCATCATCTGATGAAGATATTTGACAAAGAGCTAACTAAAAGAGCCTTATATCAAGGGAGAACAAGATGAACCTAAACATTCACTATCTTTACAAAATTTTCCAGGAACCCAATTAATATTAATTGATTTGATTTTTCTCAGTCAAAAGACCATATATGACTCAAATTGATTTGAAATTGATTCCAACTTTTCTAGTTTATTATTCCATCTAATTTTCTGATTCTTGCTTGAGAGATTTTTTCCAATTTGCAATATAAAGAACTTAAACTTTTTAATATTTTAAAAGAGCATTTCAATATAGTGTTAGTAAAAAAATCTATATCATTATCATTATTATATATTTTTAATAGAATTAATAACTTATTATATCTTGTAAATTTTACAGTGATCCTAAGTGATCCTCGGCTATATATTCAGAATTTGTTTCGACTTTTATATATGAATTTTATTAAAAAAATTTTTTGTTTAAGCATATACTGAAGTATCACGTTAGACCATTTGTAATATATATGAATTGATTGACAAATTTTTCTTCCCATATTTAGCATATTCCCTGACTGTATTATTAATAAATCATTTATTTTTTTAAATATTGTTGGTTACATATAAATAAATAAATAAATAAATAAATAAATAAATAAACAAACAAACAAACAAATAAATTATTGATTTCTGATTTCGCCAAGGATATAATATATGTGTTTATCATACCAATCTCTTGTTGATATGGACATACAAAAATCACTTCTAATTTGGTTTTTAAATGATTTTTTATATAACCAGAACAAAGGCCAAAAAACTATACAAACACAGGTGACAACACATAAAACTTGTGTAAAAGTGTTTCTGGTAAATTTTGCAAATTTATGATCCGATTGAACTTTTACTTTATGATTTTGAAGTGGATAAGTTATTTCCAAAAATCTATGAAATCCATGTAGACGAATTGACGTTGATATTGCTTTTGTCAAAGATTGATAGTCCCATAATACTGTTTTTTTCATAATAAATTCTTTTAGTTTGTTTTCATGATTAATGTATTCATTGATAATGTCCATTATTTGAGGATCTGGATTTTTTTTATTTGGAATTGCATGAATTGTTCCATTTGGTAAAACATATTCAGATAAATCTATTGTAATCAAAAAATCCGTAACCACATAAGTTTCACTACGAGTTCCGTATTGAATATTACCATTTGCATCAGTGTAAGTATAGGTATAATGCCTTGTCTCATAATGATAACCATGTATCTTTATAGCCATGTTAGGCTTATCGTTATGTGCAAGCATGAATCTATATAATGATTCTGGCTCTCTATTCAGCTTTGGTTCACATGTGGTAACACCTTCAGAAGTTCTCTTAAATTTAGCATCAGAAAGATTGTATTCAGGCGGAGGTGGTAAATTTTCATCAGATGTTTGCTGTCTAGTTGGATCGTCATCAACACTTCTCCCGTTGTTGTTGGGATTAAGTAAAGGGTTAATAGTTACACTGGTGGGGTCTAATGAACCATTAATTGCTTCTTCATAACTTGGTGGTTGTGAACCAGCATAATCTTGAAAATGTGTTGCGTTAGATTCAGAAAATAAGAAAACATAATCAGAATTTTCCGACATTTTTTTTTTAAAAAAAATTTATCTCCTATTTGTGAAAACGAAAGATAAATTTATTTATACCAATTTTTTTATTCCGTATTCATTACCTTTTTCGAATCTTTGAATAACCCTAATTCTCTTATAATTGGTCCATCCATATAATAATAAAGGAGCACCTGATCATATTAATGTGAATTCAAAAGATGATTGGTTAAAGAAATCTTGTTTAGGAAATGTGTACCACCACCAGTTTACTAAATAAATTATAAGTCCATATGGCTATATAGCAAGAATAAACTGCGGTTTTATAATAAATAATAAAAGAATAATATTAGGCATCATAAACACCTCTTCATTTACAAAGTTTTCAGATTTTTAAACACAGCAATTCACGTGAGGATGATTGTTCCCACGGAACTAACTGTTAAGCAATCCCAGATAGGAATAGCATAGTTTTTGTATATGTGTACCCTCACCACATTGCATTCGGTAATGATAGCAATAGTTTTCAATAAATTTTAATCGTTGATAATTTAAATTTTTTTGATGATATTCAATTATATTACAAATACGACATTTTGTTTTTCATTATTTCTTCTAAAGTACTCATTCACTCCTGACGAAGTTTCAATGTCATTGGCGAATTTGAACGATTAATGATGGCAATTATTTTCAAAATTCTACGAGTTATTCCTAAAAAGACTTGGTCAATTTCTTTTAATAGTGGCAAAATCTTCTCTTCAACAATACGAATTATTAGCATCATGTAATAAGATAATAGCAAGCAAAGCACTCTTTTACGTACAACGTAAAATTGGCCAAATAAGGTGAAAATGCGCCAAAAATCAAAATAATTCGAGAAATCGGCAAAAAATTAGAAATTTAGAACACATTATTATTATTTATGTCATGGGTGTCAATACTAATAATACAATTTCCTGCAAAAGGAAATAATATTAATTGCAATAAATAAACGGACTAGTGTTTTTCTCAAGCACAAAAAAAGTATCATTTTCTCTACTCTCCAAGTTGAAATTTAAATCATATAAAAACATTTATTTATAATGTGACATGTTAAATTCTTAACATCAGAAAGAGAGGAATTTTTATTTAAAATTTATAATGAAATATATAATAATGCAATGGTTGATTCTTTCAGAGAAAAAAGAAAAAGGGTTTTTTTTTCATTAGTCAAAAAAAACAAAAAGCTTTCTGAAAATGAAAAAAAATATTGTAATGAAAGATTTATTTATGAGTTTGAATTAAGAAATGCAAGAGATAAATGGGGCAAACCAAAAGAATGTAATAAGTGTAAATCAACAAGATATTCTGTTAGATTCTGTGAAGGTTGCATTAGTTTACAACTACAGGGTCTTTTCACCACTTGGACATCTGGGAATAACATAGTTGATGCTTTTATTCAACAATGTCAAATGAAATCATCTTTGCCAAGATTTATTTTAGAATGGATACCTTTTGAGCAATTTGATGATGTAACAAAGTTAACTGAAGGTGGATTTAGTTCAATTTTTACTGCTACATGGACAAGAGGAAGAATAATTGATTATGATGAAAATAAAAAAGAATTTGATTATTTTGGAAAGCAAGAAGTAGTATTAAAAAATTTAAATGATTCAAATAATCTAGGAAAAGCCTTTTTTGATGAGGTTGGTAATTATCATTAAAACAAAAATAAATATTTATTATATAATACTAATTGATTTTATATTCATTTCAGGCAATGAATTATTTTAAAATTAAATCAGGGATGATTGTTTCTTGCTATGGTATAACTAAATTCCCAAATAATGGAAATCATGCAATTGTTTTAAATTATTTATCAGAGGGAAATTTAAGGGATTATTTGCAGAAAAATCATTTAAATTTGACATTAAAAGACAGAATTACAATATTTTATTATTTATGTAATTCATTATATCATATACATATAAATAATTTCATGCATTGTGACCTACATAGTGGTAATATATTAATAGATAAAGGTAATTGTTATATTACAGATTTGGGATTATGTGGGCCAGTTGATGAAAAATCATCAGATAAAGTTTATGGGATTGTATCATATGTTGCACCTGAGCTACTTAGAGGCAAAAAGAACACAAAAGAATCTGATATTTATAGTGTTGGGATGTTAATGTGGGAAATATTTGCAGGTCATCCACCATTTGACAACAGGGCTCACAATTATTGTTTAATTTTTGATATATGTGAAGGTTTACGACCACCAATATTATCTGAAATGCCTGATGATTATGCAGAAATGATGCAGAGGTGTTGGGATGTGAATCCATCAAAAAGACCAACTAGTTATGATCTTTATATGTTTGCTAGAGATAAGCAAAGTGGAGTTTTTAATAATGATGATGATGATAATAGTGTTGGAAGTAGTGTCAGTAGTAGTATTAGTAATGATAATCATAATATTAGTAGTAGTAGTAGTGATTCACAACAATTACACAAGTCACATCCAGATGCATATTATATAAGTAGAATCTTAGATGAAGAAATTTCTAAATCCAAAAGCTTAAAAAGTAATGGTTTATTAAATAATGTTGATTTTAATGAAGGTGAATAAAAATTTATCAATTAATTGGAAATTACTATTTATTAACAATATTTTTATTCACATTTTTTAATTACTTTATAAACATTAGATTTTAGTAATAATGCTACTATTAGTGGTAGTAGTGATGATTTGCAACAAGCATATGAATTATATTCAGATTCATACCATACTTCATTAGATGGTCTTGATATTAATTCTTTTCTCTTAAATGTTGAAGATGAATAAAATTTCATTGGAAATTAGTAATAGCAAAAGAAAGGATTGATTTATTCATTATAATTATCTATCTTTTTATTTTATTTTTCTTAAAGCCAAATTATAATATTTTGAAATAATAAATTTTTTACATTTTTTAAACAGTAGCCTTTTGGTTATTTATAGCTTGACTTTTGACTAATTGCAAATAATTCAGTGCTTGTCAATTAATTGGTTAATGAAGCTACTTTGATTCTTGCTTACTGCCTTTTTCTTCTACCTAGAAATCTGTAAGCTCATTTAATGGTACCAAATAAATAAAAATGGCTCTTTTATGAAGCTAAAAGGCTTCTATAAAGTTTCTATTATTCATTTGTGATCAATTTATTTCAGTCATTTACTTTTATCTGGCCAATCGATTTACAAAACAACTTAAATAACTTGTTTAACAATCTTACATTTATGATTACAAAAACACTATTAGTATTTCCAATTAACCTTTGGAGAATACTTCACTAACAATATTTATTTTAATTATATCTAGAAAAATAATAATAATAACCAGCATGTAAGTAACTTTTACTAACACAAAATAAATTTTTATATCATCTAAATTAAATATTCTTTATTTCTTCATAATAACCAGCTGGTAAATATTATATTATATTATATTATATTATAAAATAACTTTTACAACACATTGTCTAATTAAATAAATTTATTTTTTTTATGACTTTTAAATGAATGTCTATATAATTCTATTTTATTTTGAATATTTTATAATGAAATAATAAGATAACACTAAAGAGTTTAAAGAAAGAAAAGAAAAATATGGAACTTGTTTTGTTTGTGCAAAATATAATACTAATTACCAGTGGTGTCAATCATGTGATCCCAAATTGTTAGCTCAAAGTTGGACTAGCAGTGGTAATGACAAATTAGATGAAATAATCAGAAATACACAACTTGAAGCAAAAGGATTTGATAGTTATCATTACCTTGAATGGATTCCTTATGACCAACTCAGAGTTGAAGAAGGAATAGGTGAAGGTGGTTTTGCAACTGTGTACAAGTGTGATTGGTCAAATGGTCCTAGATTTATTAATAATAATAAAAGATATTATCATTATAGTGGTAATGTAGCATTAAAAAAGGTTAAAAACTCTCAATATTTCTGATGAGTTTTTAAAGAGGTAAATAATTTGATATAATTAATTGACAATTAATTAATGGTTTTTAAATAATATATTAATTTTTATTGATTTTCATAAAGCTTCAAAACCACATTAAATTTATAGGACCTTATCACAAGGGTATTGTTAATATTTATGGCATTTCACAAGATCCAAATACAAAAGAATATGTTCTTGTAATGAGATATGCAGCTGAAGGAGATTTTAAAAAATATTTAAAATCAAATTATACAGGATGGAATGATAAAATTAAAAAACTTTATAATATTATCTCAGGTTTAAACACACTTCATCAAGAAAAACTTATACATAGTGATTTTCACAGTGGTAATATTTTATATTTTGAATATTTATCTGAGACAATGATTACAGATTTAGGGTTATCAGGCCCAGCTGATCAAGAAACATCAAGTAAAAATGATATAGTTGGAGTACTGCCATATATTGCACCAGAGGTATTAAATAAGAAACCTTATACACAAAAATCTGATATCTATAGCTTTGGGATTTTAATGTCAGAAGCATCAACACATCAACAGCCATTTAAAGATCAACCACATGATCTAGATCTTGCTTTCAAGATCTGTGGTGGCTTAAGGCCTAGTTTTTCAGATAATACTCCAGAATGTTACATTAAACTAGCATAAAAATGCACAGATGCTGATCCTGAAAAGAGACCAACAGCAGATGAAGTTTTAAAATTATTACTTTTTGGAGAGATGCAATTGAATCTAATATTTCTGGTTATTCTAAAGAACAGCTTGATGAATTAGAAGAAATAAAAAAAATATTTTGAGGAAGCAAATAAAAAACCCTTTAATCCTTCAACAATTACAGCAACTGTTCACCCAAATGCTATATATACAAGTAGATTATTGAATTTTACAAATCTTCCTCAACCTGTAAATTCCAATAACGTTACAATTATTAGTAATAATAATGGTAATTATCATCATTTATTTGATTTTTGATTTTAAAATTCAATATCAATACTAACATTAACATTATTTTTATTATATTATAAATTAACATATTTATAGAATCTAATCAAATTGATTTAGATTGTATTAATAATTGTAATTATTTCAATTATTTGATTATTAATTTTAAAAATTCAATATCAATATTAATATTATTTTTGTTTATAGATTTTAATCAAATGAATTTAAATAGTAATAATAATAATGGTAATTGTTTGATTATTAATTTAAAATTCAATATCAATATTAACATTAATATTATTTTTTTATAGATTCTAATCAAATAAATTTAGATATTTAAATTTATGAATAAATTTTATTCATCTGATTATTGGAATAATAATAAGGAACTGCATAGTTAAAACATTACATACTATCTATTTCAAATTAATGCAAACCCTCCTTGTAGTTTAACCTAATGATGTTAGCCAGTAGAAAAACCTTAGCTGGCTAACATCACTAGTTTAACCTGATTGAAGTGACCTATCACCATTCCTCTTATCATCATTTAATATTATTTTATTTATCTTTTTATTTATTTTATTTGTATTCAACATTTATACATATTGTTTTAACATTTTTATCATCTATATAAATAATAATGATCATAACAAAAGAATTACCTCAAATAAATTTATTTATTTAATTCATTAATATATTTGTCTGGATGGTTAATCAGTGTTGGTATAATGGCTTGATACAGCAGCAATTCCTATCTACAAAAAGGATTAATGGAAAAGTTGATCACTTGACTCAATCATGTGATTTTTTGATGATAGTGGACTTTGTCATTGGTGTTACTTTGTTA